TGATGTAAGAGCTATCATACTGCCTTGGAGGAAAGCTCTGCCTACCCCAGTACCCCAACTCTGATGGAGGCCATCAAAACCTTCTGCTTCTGGAATTCAAGTTCTAGGGATTTTTGAGCCAGAAGTCATGTAATGGCTCAGTCACCAATGTGTTGTTTTTACATAAAATCACCCAATCCCCTCCTTTTCATCTTTAGGTTTGGCCTTTAAAACATGCTGCAGTGGGAATTTTCATAAATCAGGCCTGTGTTTTGAGGTGCACCTTGTCTCTGAGCTGGAAAGATTGTGAAGATGTGTGCTTAGGCCATGCATTTGGGAGGAGAGCAAGAGAACAGTCAGGACAGCCTGACCCAGCAGCTGAATTAATACAGGGTCTTCATGAGCCACATGCAGACTAGGGGATGCAGCTCCTTCAGTGTGCTGCAGCCACAGTACACAGTACACCCTTCCACGTGCCGAATGGCTCCACCAGAGCATTCTACATCTCTTTTTAAAGCTCTCTTCTGCTGACTGTTCCATACCCTTGCTTTATTTGTCATTCCAGGGCATAAAACATTCCTGCAGCTCAGCTGTCTACCCGGGCCTCTCCTGACATGTTGTCCAAAGGTCATAAAATACAATCTTCCCTCACCCACAGCCTCTTGGCTTGGAGGACTGCCAAGCTGAGGCTAAGTGGTAGCACTCATTGCTCCATGAGGCCTCTCAGGTGCTTAAGCAAACAAAGACTGGAGAGGAACAGATGCCTCGGTAGCACGTTCAGGCTAGAAACACTCCCTGATTCCTGTCTGGGGCTCCCTGCTCCCTACTCTGCTCTGGTTGAATCCCGTTGGAGATGGTTCATGCTGGGTTTCTCTCTGAGCTGCTGCAGAGAGTTGTGTTTCCCAGCTATATCCAAAGCAGCTTTGCAATGTAGAAGTCAGTATCTACCCAAACACTTTTATTTAGCAGCTGCATTACCTGAGCTAAAGGGAATGTATTAGTATCTTAAGTAAAACTGGATTACCTGAATCAAGTGCGATCTTCCTCTCATCACTTATATTTGCGTTGTTTCAGCTCTATACACATTCCTTAGTTACAGCCTAGTCCCCAACTCCTTGTTAAAAAGGAAATAAATCCTTCCACCTGTTATGGAGGAAAGCATGTAGAATTAACCACCCGAGCTTGCCATGACAGATTCACACTGCACTATGACCCAGAGGGCCTGGCTGGTTTTCTAATAGTCAGATGTGGACACGCGGTTTGCCTTCCTAAGGGAAAGAGCACTTCACTGCTGACAGTAGGTGTCAGCAGCAGATGACAATTTGTGCTGAATGGGTTCTTCTTGACTCAAAGCTAAGACAAGTAAAACTTTCTGAGCTGTTTCATCCTGATTGGAGCTTGATTTTTACTTCGGTTTCAGAAACAGCACAGATCAGTGTTTCTGTCTATTCTGCAACCACATGAATTTCTGCAGTGATCTAACTTCATCTGTTACTGCTACCAATTCTTTGCAAGGTGTGTATCAAACTACAAAGACCCCTGAACAGGCCAGATGAACCTGTTAAGAGTTCTAAGTCTCTCAGTCTTGCCAGAGTGGTGCAGAAAGCACTGATGGAATTATTTAAATCCACATCAATAAAGTACTCCTCCAACTCCTGGAGAAAGAATGTTGATAAAGTAATCCCAGCATGAAGGTCAGCTCTGCAAAATTGTTCCAACTCAGCATTTTATCTACATTCATTATACCTTTTTTTTTTTTCTTTTCTTGTTCCCCCAACCATAATAGTTTTCTGTCCACTAAAGCAGATGCAATGCATTTACAGCTGCTAAATGACAGGAAAATGACCACAGGAGTTGACTGGAAGATGAGTAACTCCCATTACTCTGCAGAAGCAGCAGCAAAAGGTATTTTGGATTGATGGTAATTCCAGTGCTGCCTCAATAAACACATCCCCACACTCTAATTACAAGGACACAGGAGGCATAGAGAGGAAGGCTAACAGGGGCAATGATGTCAGGGCTATGATCTCAAGCCCAAATGTCGGAGGATCCTGCACAATGACATCCAAATAAAGTTGCAGAGCAAAGACTGCACGAGAATCTTGATGCCAGGGAAGTCAAAGCAAATGCAGTAAATGAGCTAAAGTTCCTTGTACACATGGACACAGGGCCAAGTCCCCTTTCTTGTGCTTGACACTAACACTGCAGCATTTTCAGAAGCACCTGGCATCTTTAAACATACATCTATCTACAGGATTTGCAATGGCATGCCTGTGGAGTGCCTGAGCTAGCACATCCTAGGCCAGCTTCCTGGTTATACAAGTCTTAAGTAAGGTAGGGTGCAGAGGATGTTTTCAGGTCTTCTCCTTGCTGCCAATTCACCAGCCCTTAATCTGCTCCAATCACCAGCTGCCAATACTGTACCCGCAACAAAAATGTTTCTCTGACAGAAGGCTAAAAAAACGTGGTTTTTTTTTTTTTTTTCCCACAGACATGCTGCCCACAAAGGTCAGTTCACAGATTGACAGTTTGCTTGCTTGACTTCAACTCCATCTACTCCACCCATTCCCAGCTCAGTGCACTTTTTGCAAGTGCTCATCACTTTCTTACTAAAAGAAACATGGACACTCACCAGGAACAGAGGTAACTACAGGATGGAAGACAGTGGGAGATAAGATATACAGGCCACATAAAGGGAATCAGCTGATTATTGACACTAGCACTGGCAAATCACAGCTGGAACGTGAAGACTACGGCATTCACACACGATATTAAGAAAGCAAGAGAATCTGCTGCAGAGGAAGGTTTCAGCAAAATACAGTGAGTGATAAAGAGCCTCTCCCACGCAGCACTCAACCTTGAACTGCCCCAATAGGTATGGAAGAAGGACCTGACATTATGTTTCATTAGACACAACAGGATTGTCCATTGGTAAAGATTCCACTGCTGTGAGATTTTTTTGATTTTTGTGGTTTTGCTCATATACTTTAGTTCATTGGCAGCTGGGCTATTTCTGTACCACAATCACTGGTTGATAGGGTACTCTGAAAATATTAAGAATACTAATTTGCTTTACTAAGGGGGAAAAATACAGCACTTTTAATAGGTGCTAAATGGACAACTCTTATGTGCAAATGCTGCATTTTGAGCTTTTAGATGGCTATGCAGGCAGGCGTTGCTTGCTACTTTATTCCAGCAGTTTCTCTGTACAACAACTCCTAGTGCCAGAAATTGTGCCACTTGGCTTGATTCCCCTTTGAAACTCAGGGATGTAAAGTGATGATCATAGAAGAATTTTACTTTTAAAAACAACAACCTACCATCTCGCCTTGCTAATAAGTCTAACACACACACACAGCACCGAGAGAAAAGAGCGAGGTGCATAGCAAGGCAGTCTGCAGAACTAGCCAAGATCTGACCTGGGAGCTGAGTCACAAGACAGAACAGCACAGAGAAAAGCTTATCTCTGTGCATCTTTTTTTTTCTTTCATCACATGCTTCAGGGGAAGTCAGCTGTAAAACCAGGAGTTTCGTTCCTGTAATGAGCTGTAGCTTTCTGTGAGGATATAAGCCTTGTCAGAGTATGAGCAGTACTAGTTCCAGATGCCAAATAGAACTGCAATTATCTACTACAGCATTTTACAGTTTAAGCATTTGCATATGCCTTGCAACTATGAAGTTGCTGTGAAGATGCTGCCAAAACCCTGCCCAGGAGCAGAAGAAAGACTAGGACCTTCCAGATCTGATGCTTAGGAAGGAAGCTCAAGGCCTCTCACAAGTATGAGCTCTAAGCTGCCTTCCACAAGTTCTTTTCATTTAGGAGCATCAGCCACATCCCTTATGTTTGACCAAGGAAGCACTAGTAACAGAATTTGCAGGCCTCCGTTTAACCCTACTTTACAACAGCCGAGAAGTAGAACTGGATTTATCTGTACACCAGGTCTCTATCCAGCAGTGACAAATTCTCTGTGCAAGAAGTTGATCTGTCAGCTTAGGCTGTACCAGTGTAGAGTTCTGCTACATCCACAACCGGGAACAGCAGTGATTAGAAATTCTTCTGAAAGGTTCAGCTCATCACCTTATAAAACCAGGAACTCGCTGACGTAACACAGCTTTTCTGCAGACTCAGATCCAAACCCATGATTTACAAGAAAGCATTTCATTCCTTACAGAGTTCAGTATTTTGTTATTGAAATTCTAATCAGTACAACAGCTCTATTCCCAGAATTGTTTTATTTTATTGAAACAACATACAGCTTACCCAGTCTGCGTCTGGGGGTAAAGGATGATATTACACCACACGGGAAGTGGATGGAGATAGACAACTCTGAAAAAACAGAACATGCCATCCCTGCAGGCCTCAGGATAGTGCTTTAAAGACAAAAGTACTCCTTATTCACGTATTTCATTACTTTATCAAAGGCAAGGGCAAAAATATCCTACAGATTCAGAAACTGTAGTCAGTAGTCATCAGGTTCATATATCAAATCCCATTTCATGCAGAATATAAATACATAAATACATATGAAAACATTGTCTAAAACATTTCATAGTGCATTGTAATTTGAAAGCAAACTTCAGCTTCAAACTACCCAGTTAGCAAAAATCCAGTTTCATTGTTAGTTAATTAGTTGACAAAGAGAATATTGACTGTGACAAGTTTCAACCTGAATATACTTAGAAATAAGTAAAAACTCCACATTTAAAATACATTATTTTGCTACCCTTTGTCAAAAAGGTAAGAGATTTACCATATACTACTTTTCATTAAAAGTAGAACTTTCTAATACACCATCAGTAAGGTCTTTCCCTTTTTAGATTCATAACGCAGACTCTTAATGCAGTTATTTTCCCCCAACCCTCAGGCAGCTCTGAGAAGAAAACCACCATTTAACCCTCAAGTTATTGATTTTCATTCGATATTTTCAAAATAACATTTTCACTGCAAGCACTCTTTCATAGCTTTTGTTGACTTCATACAAATTTCTATGTTCTTTGTAGGTTTTGTTTCTTTGTTTATTTTTGGTTTTGTTTTCTTCTTTGATTTTGAGTAAGCCAGACACTGAACTTGGGCGTTATCATATGAGCCACTTCTTTCTGTACTCGCAACTGCTTTCTGATCAGTTATGCTGAAGTCACTTTCTTAGAAACTAATGAGACCCGCTAAATCTCCTTGTGGAGGTGCAACTTGTATCAGCAAAACAGTGCTCTGCTTTTGCTGTAATAGTTTATATCAGTTCCCAGACACGGTACTTTCACAATGCCGAAAACCATGCTTCTCCTGCTCTGCCAGCATACAAAACCTGTGCACACGCACTCTATTAGGATGAGCTCTGGAGAAGACCTGGGGGTCAAGCAGCCCATCCTTCACTCTTGCCCTCCTCCCAGAGTCCTGAGAAATTTCTCTACTTCCTTTTCAGCAATGCCTCTCCCAGGGCAGTGTCAATCACACAAGAACTGTATGATACTTCTTAGAGCCCCCAAAATATCATAGAATAAAACCTCTCTGCTTCCCACTCTCTAACAGCACTTTGTTTTTAAAAAGAATACTGGGTAAAGTTTCCATCCCATTAGACATTCAGTTTTCCTGTTTGCTTAGTATCAAGGCCTGCTGTGCTCTAGAGATTCTACCAGCTCTGCATTAAGAATACTCCCTTCCCTTTGCAATAAGCACCTTTGGTTTACTGTGCCCTGGACAGGTCATCTATCAGGACAGACCATTCACATCAGAAGTTTTCACAGCACTGCCAACATCCACCATTAAGAGCGAAGTCTGTGGCCTCAATGCTGGCAAAATGTCTGGTGTTACCTAAATTTATATTATCTCAGTCTTCCAGAAAAAGGTTCAAATTAGAGAAAAACCATCTTGTCTCTTTTCAGGTTACTTATTTATTTGTCCCTAATTTGTACACAAAATCCCCCAGGTCTGCACAGTCACCTTAAATAAGCTCTAAAACATGGAGCATCCTCAAATCTCCAAATTTTAGCTCCAACAGTCACACAGCACAGATACAAACATATTAATGTTAGTCTCTACACAGTTTTACTCTTTTCCACTAAAGAGAAACTCAGCACTTATCTAAGTAGCTGACTGCACTTAGAGTAAAGTTCACATGAATTCTAAAACAACAAACAAAAGTAGCTTCAAACAGCAACACTCCTTAGGTATCAAGTGGATGCTGGACTACCAAGAAAGAGGTGGAAAAAATATGTCAGAAATTCTGGATCAAATGAAATTAAGCCCAGAACATGCGTAGTAAGCTACTTGTTTAAAAATCTGGTAAGGCTATCATTGCCATAATCCCTCAAGTATAGACAGACGTAGTCACTGTAACATCATTTTTCTTAGCTTGGATGAGCTTATTCTGTATGAGAAGATGCTGATTTGAAATAATGGACATTCCAGCACCTGTGATACCCTACACACAGCAGTGACAATCCACATTTCCACAGAGAAAGAAAGGAACTCTTTGCCCAGTCTTTCATACTTCACATTCCCTTCTGAAGCCTACTATTAATAAAAATAAATACGAGTGCACAGGAAGATTTAGTTCAATGACTCCAATGTAATAACATCAAGGATTTCATCTTCGTTTCGTGCCCCCAAAGCCTGCAAAGAAAAAAAAAGTCAGCTCCACTATAGCCTTTCCACTGAACTCTCTAGTTCTAAAAGGGCTAAAGGTGGCAGGGGAGACAAGGTAAACATATTCACATGAAGCAGAACAGCAACCAACTGTGGGCTGACTGGCCTGAGAACTATTCTTGCAGATTAGAAAACCTGCATTCTACAAAGAACATGTTTATACATGTTTGCTAGAGAAGGGCATGTATAGTGTGCACCAGAAGGGAAAGCCCTAAAACTAATGCACCTTGCCACTGAAGACAAACCCAATATCAGTGGTACCATGCCCACCATACACCTGTGGGGAGTTTCACGCCTCACAATGCTGCCCTACTACCATAGGAAACAGAAATATGGGACATTGTTACATACCCACCTACACCAATGGATAAAATAAAACAAAGAATGTTTGCTGAATCTCAACTAATATCTGCATTTTTTGGTAGGTCAAAGTCTCTTAAGCTTCAGGAGATGCAAAGGTGTTTTGCCTTACCAGAAGCAGTTCTTGTTCCTGAACTGCTCCCTTGTGTGGAATTGCTTGAGTGCCCATTCATAGGAGGTGCAGCTGTGGGATCTGTCCACATGCTGTGATACGGGGAACGTGGCTGTGCTCTGACGTGAAACAGAGGAGAAGGACAGATTTGTTAGTGACCTTATGAAAAATTAAAAATATACCGTTCCAAACGAGACAACTGCAGCTCTGAGGACAACTGTAAGCAAGCAGTTGTTTCAAAGCTGAAAATACCCCCGTTGAACATATTTACATGTTGAGAACAAGGATATCCAGTGTTGTTATATTATCACCTGTAGACTTGCAAAAGGAAATTAAACCTCATTCTTTAGAAAAAGCAATTTTAACAATTGCAAATGAGGAAAGTTTTCCCTCTGGAATTCTGACTTTAGATTCTGTCAGACAAGAAAAGAAATTTGACATCAGAAGCTGAGATGCATTTTGGTAACACCTACATCCCAGCCATGTCAGCCAAGAGAAAACATCTGTTAACTATTTTGAAAAGGTTGTATCAGTAACTCTAACATATAGTGATCTTTGACTCACTGATTTAATTTATTTGCTTCCATGGATATGGGATTTCCTGCTGCTGAAATGGACAAAGAGCTGTCTCACACTTTCCAGCACCAGCATTTTGAGGCACATAATTAAAAAAGAAATCAAATTAAATAACAGTGGACCAAAGACTGTTTTAAAAGAAAAGAAGCCCAAGTTAGGAAGCTTGTTGCACGTATTTGAACTTACTCAGTTAGGTCTCTAATCCTGAACAATCAGATGTGGCTATGGAAATGGGGAGGGGTAGAGATGGTGGAAATCAATGAACTAACCTGTTTCTAGATACTACATAAATACTGTGCTTAAGCACAAGGGTCATGTATTCAAAACTTAAAAAATACCAAGACAATAAAACCTTTAACACATTTTACCTTTGAAGAATTGTAAGCAGACTTAATATAATGCTTCTGTTACTATAAAAAATAACAACAAAAAAACCCCTCCACAACTTTACAATCAAGATGCTTTAACACACACCTATCCATATTATCTTAAACTGTCAATATAAAACAAGGTATATGGCAATATTTAATCTGTTATATTGCCACGTTCCTACAGGAATAGACTCAATACACATGCAGTTATTTGATAAAAAGAGAAAACTGCTTGGGCTCTAAAGATTCCCTGCAGGAGTCACATATTTTCTCCAGTGAAGGCTAAAATGGCACTAAATTGCTACAATGAAACCAATGCATTTTAAAAGTCTAAAAGTGTCTAGCGAGTATGACCAGCAGATGGTTACTCCAGCACAAAACTGCTTTTGAATGCTGTTTATGTTATGTTTTTTCAAAATGCAACTTATGTACGACCCACAAGTCCTCTGGAAAACCATACCTCTTGGATTTCCACACATGAGCCACTGGGAGACTGAAGATTAAAGGCTGTTTAATCTAATCTCACAGACTATCACAGAAGAGCAGCTGCTATACAGACTGACCTTAGCAGAGATGACACTGATGGAAGAGACCTATCTACAGACGGGTTTATGCTCAATATGACTATTTGTGTTTTAAGGCAGTCTGCAGGTAGATTGTTTAAAAGCTCAATTTAAAATTGCAGGCCATCATGCCAGGTCAGGGTAATCAGAAGCAGAATGAAGTACTTCAGTCCTCCCAATTCTTCCCCAGAAATTTGCTTATAATGTCTCTGGTGCTGGGGCTAGAGATAGCTCCTCAAAATTCTTCTAGTGGTAGGATTTTATAGCTTGAATGAACACAGGCCTGAAAGCTTAGAAACAATGTTAACACAGCATATGGCATACCCCCTGAAAGCTTAAATACTTAAAATCTGATAGATGCGTGTTTTACCTGTGACTGCCTGCCAAGTAGCCTAGCAAGCCTCCTGCTCCTAATCCAGTCCAAAATCCTGGTCCTGAATTGGTTCCATGATGGGAATGCATTCCAAAGCTGTTGTCATCTTAAACAAAATGAAAATAGGAAACATCAGTTAGTAGCCTAATCCTCAGGCCAGCTGTTGCAAAAAGATTCTCTCCTGTTAAAAGATAATGGAAAATTAAAAAAGTTCCTCCTAATTCCAGTAGATTCTTGATCAAGCTTAACTTGAGAGGCCTCACATTTCAGAAAGCAGGAAAAAACACAGAAACGAACACCGCTTTGAGAAGTTTTATGTTAAAAATCTACTTCCACTCCATCTCACAGCCCTGACGTTCACAAAACATGGAAAGTCCCTGCCTGCTGATCTATAAACAGACAAGTAAGAGTAAAAATAGAAAAGGAAAGGACGAAAGAATAATCTGAAGGTCACATAGCAGGCCAGAGGTAGATGCAGGAGCAGAAATCAAAGAGGTAAGACTACAAAGTGAGCAAACCACAAAGACATACAGCTTCTAATCTCACTCAGCACAGCTGCACCATTTGAGTCACAGTGGCTCAGTGTAATGGCTAACATTACTTGTATTGTTCCTAGTAATCCTAGTCTGGGATTTGTTATCAAAAGGCATGTTAACTGCAATCACATTGCAAAGTTTTTGTTATGCATGAGTCACCAGCTTCACAAATACCTTGATGAAACTGCAAGCATATCAAGTAGGTTGTGGGGGAAGGAGAGTCATATATTTTTTACATGTGACCTGCTTAACATGAGGTTCTGAGTCAGAACTGAACGTCTTCCATTTAGAAATAAAAAGAGAAAATATAACCCCAAAGTAGAATAATTTTCTGGTCTAGAGAAAAACACAAATGCAAGAATAAGCTCAATCACAGGATTAACACATAAGGAAGTACAAAAAGCAAGGAAGATAACATTAGAGTCTCCCTGAAACATGCCCACCTGAACAAGTGGACCAGAGATGATGTAAGTAGAAGTCATGGAGGGTCTGGTTTGTCTCCAAACTGGTATGAAATAATCAGTCTGCATTGGATTTGATATTGAATTTCATTTTGAATGCATGGAGAGAAATATAAACTCTCATTGGGATGATATATTAGTTATGCTGATTTGAATAAAAAAAAAGTACTTCCTTTACTGGAAAAACAACGATAATTCAGAGATGAACCAACTCATTTGTTCAAAAGCACCGTGACTGAACATTGACTCAGTAAACTGAGTCATTTTTTGCTGAAATATCTAGAGTAAACATTAAGAATCATGTCAAACCACAAACAGAGAGAAAGCAGAATTTAATTAAGATAGGCTGGCTAAACTAGTTTCACAGGACACACTCTGCATGTTAAGAGGATTTAAAATGAGGCAAATTAAATATTAACAGCAATACATGAACATTGCTTTCCATTACTGTCCAGATTTCCAAAGATTAATACCTTCCTGGGAACACATGGACATACACACTCAGAGATGTGCTTTTGCTCTGCTGCCAGAGTATAAGGCAGATATTAAATGCAGTGAAATAGCATAACAATTGGTGCAATTAATCGACAAGTAACAGGACAGAAAAAACCAAAACTAACTCTTCACTGTTCCGCCTGTGCCCAGTATGACAGAGCCTGTCTTATGACCAGGGCTCCACTGACTACCACAGTAATGCCAGTGGCAGTGCCTACACAGGGTCACTTATGCACATGAAGCATACACAGACAGCTCAAAATAACTACAAGGAAACCAGTTGGCAAAGCCAACAGTAATGAAGAAGCAGAATCCCTTTAATTTTTTGGTGCAGGTACATCTATCTGAATGTTTCTGCTGGGCATGCCCTGCACAAGGGTATCCCAAAGAGTTACACTGCACCCTCTGTTGGCCAAGCAGCTTGAGCAAAACTTGAAGAAACCATTAATAAGCATTATTAAAATATAAACTAAGTAAACTTAATCTTTGCTATGTATTTTCTTGCTAAACCCTTTCTCTACCTCACTAAAAAAAAAAAAAGATTACGTAACTTGTGAGAATATAATTCAAGTTTCAGTGCTTGTGAGCAGCTTGCATGTGCACAGGGTTACATCAGTTGGTCAGACACCAGATATGCAATGTTTATGTTCCTTAGACACCGTGACTCCCTAAGGAAGACCACTTATTAAGTGACAAAAGTCATCAATTTTCTGGAAGAAGAAGGACACCCTTTCCTAGCTGCAGCCTTGTCATTGCTTATCTATTGCTTACAACTTCAGATGAACAGCCCCCTCTGAGATTCAGATGATGCACCTCTAATGCCAGTTCACAGGCACTGTTCTCTGTTCTGGGAACCAAATCTTTCAGCCACTGGGACTACACTGAAGCATTTGTTAACCAGAGGGCTTTTATATGATACTCAACTCCATTAACCACTTTGTGAATTAAATCAGTGCTGAAAGATCTTTCTGTAAGGTTTCAAAGCACCTCTTTGGAATGGGTTTGCTTCTGGCTGCATAAGACCATTCTTTCTTCCAGATTACCTATGAAAATTATTCTCCCTGTTATAATCCTCCTAAGTCACAGGGTATGAAAAGAACACTTGTAGAGCATGGGAAGATGGGACTTTCAAAGGGCAGCCTGCTGCACAGCTGCCCTGAAAGCCTGTGGAAAACCAAGTCCTTATTTTCTGTTTTGAACAAAGAACAGAACGCAAAGCTGTCTGCGGGCTCTGCAGCCAATTCGGCAGAGTCAACTGCCAATGCTCTGGTTTTAAGTTGGTCCCACCTGCCCCTACTGCAGATAAAACAGTTCAACCCTGCTTGCTCTTTTGAGTACAGAGAACAGGTCAGAGCCCTACCTGTGAAGCTGGACTTAAAGCCAGGAGGAGGAGGCGCCTGCTGACTCTGCCAGAAAGGCCTTGAGAAACCGTCACTGTCACCGGGACTCTGCTGAGGCTGCTGGTTGCTGAGGAAGAACTTGTATACTCCAAAAGCAAGAGCAAGAAGAACTATTACAACAATGGCTCCAGAACCAGAATCAGAAGAATCTGATTGCCTTGACTGATAATAGCTAGAGCCAAAGCTTCCAGAGCTCTTCACTTTCCTTTCACCTTCCTCAGTCAGCTCTAGCCTGAACAGCAAACTACAAGAGCCTCTCAAGATGTAAGGGTCATCCGGGTAATCATAGCCTTCACAGCTGACTTCTATGTGTCCAAAGCGGTAGGCATTGTCCAAGTCTGCTTTGCACTGCCACTGAAAAAACAAACACAATACAAAGTAAAATCTTCTGCTCCAGAGATTAAAACACCTGTCTGCTTTCCCAAATATTCCCAATGAAATAAAGCTGTGATTGCTAACAAATTATCTAAGGGGCCGCAGGGTAAGAAATTTCTGAGCACTTATTTTGAAAGGGAGTAGGAATTTGATGTTAATTACAGATGATTTTTAAATGCTACAACTTAAAAAAAATTCTGATCTTTCAGAACACTAAAGAGTTACGACTGGAAGATTTTGTTTTTCTTCACTGGATAGGTTTTTCAAATACTCCTTCTTTAGACAATGCAATACTTCTAAAAGCATGCCATACGCTGTGCAACAGCTACTTAACAAATGCCTGTCCTGTCCAAACGTGATGGCAGCTACAAAAACACAACATGTGATCCTGAAATCCAGTGTGCTCGATTCAGTTTACGTCTATGCAGAAACCAAAAGAAATCGGGACAGACATCATTAGGCATTCAGATGCAACACTTAACAATCCTACTGCAGGTTCTGCAGTTGAATTTATGTGGGTTCCTCAGCCTCACATTTCCTTGAGGTTACCTGAACTTACCATCTCTAACTGCAAATGACACATATTTTGGAGAGGAAATTAAAAAAAAAGGAGTAATTTCTAAATTAATAATTCAGGACAGCAGTACCAACTGACAATTCAAATTTGACTGTGTCAGTTTTAACACTCACCTTCAACCTTGATTCCTGGTTATCTACTGACAGGAGCTTAGGTAACAGCTAACAAAACAAAGAGGGGTGATGACTTCCTGACAAGTATTAAGATCTTAGGGTGCAAGAGGAAGTCATGCAAACCCGAAACTTAGTGTTTAAAAGGTAGAGTTGAAGTGAAGCAACTATTTATAATCCCTTTCTACTCTAATAAAAAATGGAAATTCACACAGCAATATCAATTCCAAGAGTACCCTCTTAAGGTTTGCCAGTTTGATTTTATAAACTCAAGCACCATTTTATTTAAAACCAATGAAGGTTTGCTGTGCTGTGTTTTTACATCAGCACCTTCAAGGATATTTCAAACATATACATACAGTAGTTCTAGAAAATGCAAGCCTAGAAGTATTTAGGTTAAGTTTTTGTCGTCAAAGGTCATCTAACAAAAAGCAAGCTGAACTGACACCATAGCTCTTTTCTTCTTCATAAATTACCGAGTGTGGGGCAAGATGATTTCATTAAGAGTTTAACAAGTTTTAAACAGTTACCTGTACATCATAGCCATCCCAACCTTTGTTGTAACACTGAACCACCTCGGGAACGCGGGAACACCCCGCAGTGCCTCCCGTGCACTGCAGCTGCGGGACCGCAGGTGTCCGCCGGGACGTGGTGTACTGCCCTCTGTGGAGAGTGAGCGCCTGCACGTCCCTCAGCAAAACCTTCCCTGAAACGGTGGGGGAGGACAAACGTCAGAACGAAGGCGTTAACAGGGTCGGAAAAGACCTCTCAGATCACTTGAGTCCAGCCTATGACTGAACACCACGTCAACTCGACCACGGCACTAAACGCCACATGCAATCTTTCTTTAAACACCTCCAGGGACGGTGACTCCACTACCTCCCTGGGCAGCTCATTCCAATGTGTAATCACCCTTCCTGCGAAGAAGTTCTTCCTAATGCTTGCCACCACTTGTCCAGGTGCGTTCCCCCGGGCCACAAGGGCCCCCTCTCAGGACAAGACTGGCCATACAGAGGCCGCAGCAGTACCCTGCTTCTTCAGGACGCAGAGCCCCAGCAAGCACCACATGCGCAGAGGGAAACACGGCATTTCCCTCCTTCCCTTCCGAGGGGGCCCTGGGCTACTTCCTCTTAGGCACACAAGCACCCCCGACCGCACAGCGGGATTATTGCTGCGGCACGAGCCGCCTTAAAGGGAGCCCCAACCCAAACGCCTCCCTGGCGCGGGCCCCGGCACAGCCCCTCCTTCCCCCGCGCCGGGCGAGGCGGCAGGGACGGCGCCGAGCCCCGTTTCCCCCCACGGGTCTCACCCTGACGGTCCCAGCCCCGCACGGGGCCCGCGGCAGCGCACAGCAGGAGCACAACAAGGGGGACGGGGGCGGCCGCCATGACAGCACAGCGCTACGTCACCGTCCGCCCCGGCGGGGGGCGTGACATAGAGGACGGGGCGGAGCTTCTCCTTGGGCCCCGCCCGCAGCAGTCCGTGGGGCCAATGGGCGACGAGGGCGCGGCGCTTCCCGCGCGCCTCGCGCAGGGGGCGGAGCCGCCGCCGCCTCGGGACCGTGGGGCGCGCGCCCGTCACACGGGCGGGTCACGTGGGCGGCTCACCGCCCCTTCGCAGCAGCGGCTTCCGGTTCCGCCCGGCGGTTCCGGTTCCCGGCGCGCGCCCCTCCGGTGCCGCGCGGCTCGCGGGACGGGCGGCGCCATGGCCGGCATCAAAGGTGCGCGCGCGGGGCGCGGGGCGGGTGGGGCCGCCGCGGGAACCCCCGTCTTCCCCCTCCGTCCTGTGCCCCCCCCTCCCCCCCGCCCCGTGGGAGCCCCCCGTGGGAGCCCCCCGTGCCCCCGCCGTGCCGAGCGGGCAGGCGGGGCCGCGCTGAGCGGGAACGTCGCGGTCGGTGTTTCGTGCGGCGCGGCGCACTCTTCATCCGCGGTCCTCTTGTTGTTTCTCTCGTTGCAGCCCTCATCAGCCTGTCCTTCGGCGGAGCGGTCGGACTGATGTTCCTGATGCTTGGGTGTGCCCTTCCCCAATACAAGTAACGTGCACTCGCTTCCTGTTCTTTGTGTCTTTTATTTTGTGTCAGTAACCCCAGAGTAGTTTGGATTTCGTACTTAACAGAATCATAGAATCGTTAAGGTTGGGAGGGACCTCTGGAGATCATCTATTCCAATGCCCCTGCCAAGACAATTGTGGATTGAGAAGGCCTCTCTGTGTACGAGGGGTCTTCGGGTTTGCCTTTTTTTTGCTTCCAAAGATTGGGGTGGGAAAAAAGAATATCCAGGATTTAATTCACCTTAAAAGTGATGGCAGTAAAAGTTAAACTACCAGGCCTGACTGCAGACTGCTAGAGGGTGCACTGCCCTGACATGTCCCAGCTATTATCTGTGGCTGACAAACAGGACCTCCTGAGGTAGGCAGCAAGTGTGCGTTTTCCAGGGAAGCACCTGCATTTTCCCTCACTGGTAGCTGGGCTGTCAGTGAGTGCCAGGTGGACCTTTGGCTGTGACCCACGCCGGTAATGTGGCATCTGGAGTAGTTGCAGTTGCTGTCTGCACTTTGGGTATGTCAATTCCTATCCTTTAGTTCTCAGGAGATACAAAGTTAAATGACATTAAATGATTGGTTATTGGTTGTGAATTTCAGTTCTCTACATATATGACTAGAATTCTTATGCCAGCTCTCTTGTATTATAAAACCAGTGGTGGTGACACAAACCCTTAGGAGGGAGATCACTGTGCAGTTGCCCTTCAAACAACGCAGCAAAGTTTTATTGAAACAATGTGCACCTGCGTTTATGTGCCTGAGAAATCTAGTCTGGTGAGCTGCAAGCAAAAAAAGAAAGTGTTGCCAAAATGATGGTGTAGTTTTTGTAGGTGTCTGCTGGTTGCATTCACATTTTTAAAAAAGTGGAAAAAAAATGTCTTGGTTCCCCATGGTGGCTCAGTATTGTCTGAGAACGATGCTCTGTCCCACGTGTGTGCACTGAAAGCCTACAGACAAAATGATGTAAGGGCTCTGCAAAGGTATCTCTGCAATTCGTAAGCACAGCTGACAGGATAAAGTTTGGATTCAAGCTCATCTTGTGAGGTGGCATTAGATTTAGGCTTGCATAGTGAAATCTTGCTTTATGAATACCCTGTTAGTGAACTCTGCTGCCGCTGAAGTCAGCCAAAGCCTCTCACAAACATGGTCTGCTGGATTAATGTCAGGTTGTTCCAAAGCAAAGGATTTGCCTCCTCTGGGTTTGTGTCTGTCTGTCCTGAATGTGGATGCTGGATGGGGAAGATGCCTTGTGTTGATTTTAGGAAAGACAGGAAGTCAATCAAGTTAACTTAAACTCTTCTTCTCCTTTCTTTTTCAGCCAGTACTGGCCACTGTTTGTTCTCTTTTTTTACATCCTGTCTCCTATCCCATACTGCATAGCGAGAAGATTAGTAGATGACACAGATGCTACAAGTAATGCCTGCAAGGAGCTAGCAATATTCCTTACAACAGGCATTGTGGTATCAGCATTTGGGCTACCGATAGTGTTTGCAAGAGCAGCACTGGTTAGTAATATTTCAACCTATGATTGTTTGGTTTTTTTTCCCTAGAAAACTTTGTTCTCAATGTTTGTTTTTTTTACTGAAGGTAAACCTCTCATGCACTAAACAGCTCTTATAACGACATACTTATTACGTTTGCAGTGGAAACAGAATAGGAGTTCTTTTGACAAGAAGAACTAATACAGAAATGGGAGCATGGCAGAGCATGGTGATTGCCAGTTGCTTCATGCAGTCATGGAATAAACCCTATCAGCCTTGTATGCAATGCAGAGAAAATGAGATTAAAAAATACTGTGAAAGCCTAATAGGCAAGTAACCAAATATAAAAGTGTAAAGAATACTTTGAAGGCAGTTTGTTGAATAGTTGGGCTAAAGCAGCATGAATAAACAACAGAAAAAAAACCCCAACCCCCAAAAAAACCAAATGCATTTTTTGCACTCGGTGTAAATTATATTGGTGTTATTTTTTTTAAACTTCTGAGTTCTCATTACATCTTTACCAGTATATAGCTTTTCACTCAAACACTTTAAAAGTTCACCTTGTCTGTGTGAATTTTAAAAAGCAATACCGAGTCAAAAAACATGGAGTGCATTTTCATAAATGCCTTTAGGCAAGAACAGCTCAGACGGTCAGTTTGAGTGCCTCACACCCTTTGACTAATCCACTTACTCTCCCTGGGAAACATCCACCTCTTTCTTTGTTGTTGGCATATCTGCTGGTGTTTTGAAGACCTTAAATGTCTGTTTAAAAAGGTCTTACAGCATGGTTGGCAATATAAGTGGGTTGCAGATGTGCTGTAGCCTGGCTCTACTTTATACACCAAAACAGCTGTGCTTGTTAGCCAACACTTTGAATATGGCTAGAAAAAACTTGTGCTGCTTGGCTGGCTGTGAATTGATCGAATAATTTTGGGTAAACCCAGCCTTCTTGGTGTAACCACAAATAATGAGATACCATCTTCTTGCATCACGGGCATGTTACTGAACTTTGTCTAGAATGGGACAGTAAGATGTTGCCTTTTGTCTTGTCAGTATCCAGTTCAAAACGTGTCTAACTAAATTCCCCTTGTTCACAGATTTACTGGGGCGCATGTGCACTCGTTCTTACAGGGAATACAGTCATCTTTGCCACGATCCTAGGATTTTTCTTGGTCTTTGGCAGCAATGACGACTTCAGCTGGCAGCAGTGGTGAAAGGAAGAGAACTATCACAGGCATCTTGTCATGCAGTGGCCATCCATACAAATGAGAGAATGGGCAATAAAGAGAAGTAGCATAGCAAGCCTCTTGAGTATTCTAGATGCTCTTTTTCGCGTTGTTCGTTCTGAGTGTACTACTGTTGCTGATAGGATTTATATGTTTTTATGAAGTGAAGAGATTGTTGATTTCATTTTTATCTATGGTATGTTTTTAGGTGCTCTCTTGGTTTAAAATTGTTATCCTTCTGTCCAGTGTTTTATGTGAAGCTTTAAATCAGGAACAAGAACATTTAAACATGGTTTCAAAGAAGATTTAAAGTTGGAGTTTTTTGGTTGTGTTTTTATTTTTTTTAATTTATTTAAGCTAAGCATTAGTACTATGTTTCAGTTTTCATTTTTTTTTAAATACCAAGGTTAAATTATATACAAGCTGATTGGAGGTAAGAGATTGTCCACCACCATTGTCAATTTCCAAAGCAACAGATTGTTGCTATATTGTAGCTATATTTTTAGAGGCAAGGCTGGTTGGAAAGTACTGGTTGCAGATTTTCTTCTGCCCATACCTCATACCTGGTTATGAATGTTGATAGCCTTCATTTCAGGAGAAGGCTGAGGAGCAGATAGAGTTATTTGGGAGAAAAGTCCTAAATTTTAACACTGCTAGCCCTTTTACCTGCTTTGTTATTGATTCTGTGGATGTGACATTCAAATGCTCTGTAAATGTATTGATGCTGACATACAAAATTAAAGTGTATTGTAGGGGAAGGGAAAATGATGTTTAAATTCCATTTTTTAAAAAAAAACGTATCTTTTGAACTCTTTCTATTTATAAGTATTGTATGGTTTTGAACTTTTATGTCAACTTTTTACCACAAAGATGGTAAAATGTTCATTTATGGAACTACTGGTCTATGTTGATTTGAAGCATATACAAAGCTATTTCCTCCTCCCCCTTTTTAATTTATTTTATACATAGTATATATATATAATAAAACAGCTTTTAAAATGTAGATTAAAACTTTGTGTTAAACCTGCCTAAGAATGATTCCCCCCCCCCTTTCTTTTTTCCCCCTCACAGTGCAGTTGAGTGACTTTTTCGGAAGTCACTGGCTGAACTGATTTCACTTGACTCTTTTTAAGTTCTTATGCACTATGGGTTGATAAGATTTAATGTTATATCTGTAACTGTAGCTTGTGTTCTGTAAGATTGCACATGTAGCTTCAAATATTTAAGACAAGTTTTATGCATACCTCTCAATTGTCTGGATTTTTCATTTGAAGAAATTGCCATTAGACATTCCATCATGACAGAGCTGATGAGTACCACTTAACTAGGTTTGACTGTACCACGTGCAGTGATGAACTTTACCAAACATACTTCTAAACAGTATTTTTCAATTATTGAAAAAAAAAAGTCTAGGAATCTTAACCATGTGTAATTAAAAGCTGACAATTGCTTAGGTTTTGCTTAACAGTATGAAAAGGCACAGAACTGCCGGTCTTGGCTGTAGAATTTGGTTGCAGATTCAAGTATAAAGCTTGAATATATATATATATATATATAAATATTTGTATATGAATATATGCAAAGTTTGGTAGTAATGGTAGTGACTTGCATGACGTGCTCAAGGGACAGACCGGCACGTGGGGACAGCAGGGGTGT